GCAAAGTTGCAAAAGTGAGAAGTTTCTCTCATTCATCCTCATTCCTCGTGTCCTCTACTTTATCTTCCGGGCTGGCACTTTGCAGGGTTGCTTTTGCTGCTGGCTTGGGATGCACTTTACCATGGGTGGCTGTGTTGGGATGCATTTTGCCACGGGCTGCTGTGCTGGGATGCATTTTGCCACGGGCTGCTGTGTTGGGATGCATTTTGCCATGGGTGGTTGGCTTGGGATGCACTTTGCCACGGGTGCACAACCTTGCTGCACCGGAGGAGGACAAGTTGGAACGGGGCAGCACTGAGGAATGTGTCGTGTTGGCTTGCTGTAGCATGGCTTTCCCCCCTGGTAACCTCCTCCATGGCATGTCTCGGAGCAGACCGACCTCCCATAGCCGTGGCATCCTCCTGATGACCCACAGCTGTACGTGGGCCTCCTGACACAGCTTGAACCACCTCCATGGCATGAACCTGAGGACCCTTGGCATCTCTCAGAGCAGACCGACCTCCCATAGCCCTGGCATCCCCCTGATGACCCGTAGCTGTACGTGGGTCTCCTGACACAGCTCGAGCCCCCGCCGCCGTGGCATGAACCAGCTGCAGAGTAGCCATGGCATCTCTCGGAGCAGACCGGCTGCCGGTAGCCGTAATGCCGGTAGTTGTGCCCTCTCATGCCTTCAACGCCTTCGCCCTCGCACCCTGAGGAGCAGGTGTTGTAGCCATAGCGGAAGGGTGTGCGCCGGGTGTCCAGCCAGGACCCTGAGGGATCGTACCAGGTTGAGTTCAAGTTGAAGTACGATTCTCTTCCAGAAGAGTATATCATGTTCGAATTGTAGGGAAACACCTGAAAATCACACGGACAGATAGGCTTGCATTTCCATCTCCCCCGTTTTAATTTAATTTCCCATAAATTCACTTTAGTGAGCCATTCATAGGTCAATCTTGCTTTATCCTGAAAGCCTGGATCTAAAGAAAATTCCTGCAGTTGCCCAATACTGGTCATATTGTGCCCAAACCCTCCTTCTGACTTTACTCTTGAGTTTTTTCCCCTCCAAGAACAGATATAAGGCACCGCAGCACATAGTGACATTGCAGTAAATCCCATACTCAGTCCCCCAGTAGCTTCTTTCTTGGCTTCACCCACTGTCCTCTAGTCCTTTTGTGTAGAGCATTGTCTGAAGGACAGTGCAAGCGTGCCAGGACTGTGATCTCCTGAATCCAGACACCCATCCCAAAAAAAACCCCTGGCTGCTCCAGAATGTGTCTTACCCAATTCGTGAGGGAAGGCAGACGCTGACCAGGAGACCAGATTATGAGAACCAAAGGATCGGAGGCCTTTTATATGGTTCCAAGTCTTCCCCTTGTAAATGAAACACGCTGCAGGAACGAGGACTAAATTATTTATTGGCAAAACATCTCCTCCATTTAGATGCTGTTCCCAGCACTTGGCATGTTCTGCTTGACTCATGATTCCTGATAAGCATCTCTTAATTATAATGTAGTTACCGAGTGGTGCACATAAAGGACTCACATCATTTAAGCCACACATTGGCTATGTGAGGCAGGTAATAATGTACTTATTCACCATCTCCAAGGGACCGAGACACTCAGTGGAGGCTGACGGGTGACCTGTGAGTCAGGAGCTATGATGGGCACAGTGCTAACATCCCAGCCTTCCCCTTCTGCTACCCATGAGGAGCATTTCCAGGTGCCTGAAGCACAAACAGGTGATAGGGAAGAGCCAGCTCAGAGTCACCAAAAACAAATTGTGCTGATGGGTTTCGGTGATGAAGAGGTTGGCTCTGTGGATGGTGGAGTGTGATGGATGGTGCTACCTCAGCTTTTGCAAGGCTTTGGGCACAGTTTCCCATGGCAGCCCTGTAGTTAAACTGGTGGAGGTATGGACCAGATGGGTAAACTACATGGTGGATGAAAAACTGGCTGATACTGGTACTGGAGCTGTTTGACAGCCCTGAGGAAAGGGACTTGGGGGTGCTGGTGGAGGAGAAGCTGGACATGAGCAGGCAGTGGGCACTCACAGCCCAGAAGGTCAATCCCATCCTGGGCTGCATCAAAAGCTGCATTGCCAGCAGGTCCAAAGAGGGGATTCTGCCACTTTACTCTGCTCTGGTGAGACCTCACCTGGAGTCTTGTGTGCAGGTCTGGAGCCCTCAATAGAAGAAGGACATGGACCTGATGGAGAGGGTCCAGAGGAGGGCCACGAGGATGATGAGGGGGATGGAGCACCTCTGCTCCGAGGACAGGCTGAGGGAGCTGGGGTTGTTCAGCCTGGAGAAGAGGAGGCTCCGGGGAGACCTAATAGTGGCCTTCCAGTACCTGAGGGGGGGCTACAGGAAGGCTGGGGAGAGCCTGTTTAGAAAGGGCTGCAGTGACAGGACGAGGGGCAATGGCTTCAAGCTGGAGGGGAACAGATTGAGACTGGAGATGAGGAGAGGGTTCTTCACTGGGAGGGTGGTGGAGCACTGGGACAGGTTGCCCAGGGAGGTGGTTGAGGCCCCTTCCCTGGAGATATTCAAGGTGAGGCTCGACGAGGCCCTGGGCAACCTGGTCTAGTTGGGGGTGTCCCTGCTGACTGTGGGGAGGTCGGACTAGATGGCCTTTGGAGGTCCCTTCTAGCCTGGGCAATTCTATGATTCTATGATTCTATGACATCTTTATTAATGCCCTGGATAACGGGGTGGAATTGGTAAATCTACAGGTGGCACCAAATTGGGGTGAGAGACTGAAACTGCTGGAGGATGGGACCTGGGCAGGCTGGAGAAATGGTTCTGCGGCTAACTGGGCGGGCTAACTGGGATGGGAGGGCTGGGGCAGCTGGTGAAAAGCAGCTGGGAAGAAAAGATGGACCAAAGTTGATCTGGAAACACCTTGGTCTGTGGGCTCTGAGTCAGACCCTTGGGCACCGCAATGGGACGGTGCCTGGGAACTGGCTTCAGTGAGAAAAGGCTGGGAAAAAAAAAACAAACCAAAACCCGACTAATAAAAAAAGGGATTTCTGAAAGTTCATATGAAAGTGGCTTTTTGTTTGGTTAAAATTAGACATGAGAAAAATAAATTGCTGTGGTTTTCTGCGTTTAAAAACCGAGAATTAATTTCTTTTTTTTTGTTCTTTCTGGTTTTCCTTGGTGGTTGCCAGCAGCTGTGAGGACACACTGGGGCTGTGCTTAGGTGCTACAGAGAAACAACAATAAATATTTTAGTGCACTTAGTGGAAGGCTTTTCGGGCAAAAGGAGAGAGAAACAGCACATTTCCAGTGTGCCTGTGAGAGCTGGGCAGAGGGGAGCTGCGGGGGAAGAGCCTGCACCGAGTGAAAGGCATTCCTGGCATGCACAGACACGCCTCACGTGCTGGGGCACACGCTTATTATCATAATTAACATTTCCATGATGGATGGCCTCCCAGTGCAGTGTTGCTGTCTAGCTAATGAAGGGGATGGCACACTTTGTAGAGCAAACTGTTTATACCTAGATCACTCGCCGATGGACCACAGCGAAGTCCGTCCATTGGTCCTGCGGTGGGTGACCACAATGGAGAAGGCTTTACAGCACACAGATGGACTTCATCCTGGTGTAACCACTACAGCTGGAGCTGAGATCCTCGTGTGTGAGCTCTGATTTTGGTTTTAAATATACAAATTTCTTTGTGAGAATTTAAGTGACTTTTAACATCATCTCATTGTCAGGTTGGCGATATTTTAGGGGGTAAAAAAAAAAAAGGAATCGAGTGTCAGCTAAATATTTCCAACTTTATTCTTGAATACACAGGGAGAAAATCAAATCACATGAGTCCTTGATGCTCCTGCAGTCACAGTGTGTACTTTTTTCCCAGTACAGTCCTTTGTTTGTTCTCGAACAGCCTTGAAATCACAGTCTGCTGAACCCATGAGAGAAGGCAAATCCAAGGCAGGCAGTTTCCCCGTCCTTGCTCCAGCTCTTTCCCTTTGGTTTCTCCATCTCCAGGGTGTTCATCTTCTCAGAAGAGCTGTTCTACCCTCAGGAGGAGCAAAGTGGGGTTTGGATGGTTAAAGCCTGTTCCCTGGCAGGGCAGGACCCTGCGAATTTAAAGTGTCGGTGCTGGGGTCAAGCAGGGGACTGCGGACCCCGGATCCAGTGTGCAAAGAGCAGCAACGAGCCACCGGCCACGGCGGCGTTGTCTCGTGCCAAAAGCAGAGGGAGGAGCATCGGCAGTTTGGGGCAAAACATCCTGGTTTGAGTCTGTTCAGCAATTTGACTTTTTAGCTAGTTAGCTCCTCTAACTAACTGAACTCTCTGAAATTAACGGCATATTGTGGAGACACTGTTCGTTCTCAGAGTGATAAGATCTAATTATTTATAATTTATGCCAGGGAATGGTATGCAGAAAGGCTCCTGCTTCTACTTACTGCTATAGCAACCGAGCTCAGCTAATTTTGGTTTTTTGCCCCATTGGAGGGTCAGAAGTGGAAAAAGTGTAGAGGGGTCGTAGTTGCGGGGAGGAGCAGACAGGAGAGGTGACCCCAAAGTGACCAACAGGGTATTCCATCCCATCAGTATCATGCTCAGGATAAAAGCTGAGAGATCAAAGGGGTCAGTCGCTTTCTTCAATGGTTGGTGTCCAAGGAAGATTCTGTTCATCTGCCTTTGATCCTGATCCGTGGTTGGTGTCCAAGGAAGACTCTGTCCATCTGCCTTTGATCCTGATCCGTGTGTTCTGGAATCCAGATCCGGAATCCAGATCCAGAATCCAGTCCCTGTCCATTACTGAGTCCAGTCTGGGACTTCCCCAGTGCCTGCCAGTGATGTGATCGTCATCCTGGGAGCTCCATATGGCTTTGTAGATATTGTATATATTTCATTATTTTCTTTTTCTTATTTTATTAATATTTCCATTAAAGCAGTTTTGTTTCTTCTAAACTCGTAAGTCTCTTTCTCTCCCTCCCCTCCTTGGAGAGAGAAGTGAGGGACAACATTTGTCGTTCCTCTTGGTGACCAAGGACGGGTCCCAGCTCATTTCTTCTGCAGACAGGGTGGCAAGAGAGTGACCTGCTTTTGCTGGTGATGGCTGGGATGCGGTGGCAGGGGCACAGGGGCCGGGCAGCAGCTCTGGACGGGTGGGCAACAACGCTGGATGGGTGGGCAACAACGCTGGATGGGTGGGGGGCAGATGGGGACGCAGGGGCAGTGATGCTGCAGTGGCCGGGGATGCAGTATCACGGGGGGACAGGTATCCTCCACGGGACACTGCTCCACTCGCCGCCGGGGTTTGCGGCAGCACCCCGGTTCCTCGCAGGGCAGCGGCGGGCGGTACTGCTGCAGCGGCCGGCGGTGGATTTTCACGGGTGGGGGGCAAACAGGCTGGACGTGGCTCACCTCCACCCGCCGACGGGGCTTGTTGGGATTGCAGCTTTGCTGTGGTGGTGGGCAGCAGGTCATGGGTGGGCATGGATCCACGGGTTGGCAGCCCTGGGGCTCGCTCTGGCAGGACCCCTCAATGTCACGGCTGATGCTGCCGGGCTCGTGGCAAGGGGAGAGGTTTGCGGTGTCCAGGGGGCTTTCGTGGCAGCACCCCGTGGAACCGTGCCACGTCCAGCCCTTCTCTTCGTGGCACAAGTCCTGGTCACTGTCACCTTTATGGTAGTGCATCCTGTGGCAGAGATGGCCAAGTCTCGGGGATAAACAGTCTGGGAAAAAGGGAAAAAAAATATAATCCGCTGATTCTTTTTTTTTTTTTTCCTGCTGTTTCTATGGAGAAAAAAATGAGGAATCCGAGACAGCTGAGAGAATCCAACTCACCCTGTGACCGGTGACAGACGGGCTGAGCAGAGTGTCCAAGTCCTGAGGACAACGCTGGGGCCGAAGCTTTTATATGCGGCCAAGCTCTCTTGGACATGAGGCATCCCCTGGGAATTAATAGTTGAGCACTGAGTGCCACTTCTGCATGTATATTTTTTCTGGCACTTGCTATTGGATTAATCAGCTGCAATTAGCATCTCCCTTGATGTAATGTCAGCTTAGCTCTTCGCATATGCAGTGGCCATTATCTAATTAGTTCTTCCATCGGTCATGTTCAAATACGCTGTTACCTAATGTTAGTCAGATGGGATCCTGGGATAAGGATACCTGGAATACCGTGATGCTGAGTGATGTGGCCAAAAGGAGTCTCTCGTGGCAGTGGGGAAAAACACAAAAAGACCCAGGAGTCCAGGTGTCCAGTCCTACGTCCAGGCGCCCAACGGCTCATGCCTTGAAATAGGGTTGTTGGAGCAGAGGTACTCGAATGGTAGAAAGAAAACAGAGAAAAATCTCTCCATGAAAACAAGCAAGTTTCCTGCCAGAATAAAAAAAGGAATTTTTTTAAAAAAGGAAAAATCGGAAACGCAGTGAAATTCTGTTTTCAACATGAAGTGGTTGATTTTTCAACTCTATTTCAGCTTAACACCAACCTGACCAGCCCTGAACCAGGAATCGTGTTTGTGGTGTGCTCCATGGAGTTGGGTTTTTTTGCCCAAACTGCTCTCTGGATGCTTCACCCACAGCTGGAAACCCCCCTGAGGGGGCTGGATGTGCCCCCTGATGGAACAGGTGCTAGAATAGATAGCATTGGATAGAATTAGAAGCAGGAAAAACTCTTTATTTTATACTAACTTTGTGAAACTGAGATTCTGTTTTGTAATCCACTCTGAGTGGATTTCTATTACATCTAAAAAACTCTGAATTAGCAAGATTCAGAAAAAACATAATTTGAAACTTGTATTTTAATGCTTCTGCTCTTCAAAAACAGGCATTGTGTTTTAATTAACAACATCTTCCTGATGCGATGACCTTTCCTCACAGAGTACCCCAGCACTGGAGTTGTGGAAGGCATCTAAAAAAGTACAGAGAGTAAAATTAGTTCTTGAAAAACTGCAATTTCTACCAAACAAACCCATTTTCTGACACTGAAAATGTTATCAATGAATAGGGCTTTTTCTTTTTCCTAAACTTCCACCCGAAAAATCTTTGGCTTTTGATTTATTAGTGGAAAATTGAAATTTTCTGTGAGAAAACGGAGGTTTTTCAGTTGGCCTTGTGGATGGGGCTGCTGGATGGACCTTGTTTGTCAGAGAGGGTCTGTGATATCTTGGCAGGATGCTCATGACCTTCCAGAGCACCGAGAAACCTGACAGCCGGAGAGATGGTGTTGGAATGAAGGGTGACCTCAGGACCATGACGAACTGCAGATGTTGTCGCCCTGTGTGTGGCACGGATGACTGGAAGAGGTGAACTGGAAGAGGGTGGGATGTGTATTCCCTTATTTAAATGACTTAATTCCCTTCCAAATGAGGAACACCTCTCTCAAGTGAGTGAGTTCAACACCAAAAGCCCTTTTAATGCCCTGCAAATCCGGAAGGAAGACACTGTAGAGGAGTCCTGACCTCATGAACTAACAATTTCAGGCTTTGTCAAGCACCGTATCCACCTTCCCGACGTTTCTGGGTTGACTCATTTTTCTGTAGAGCTGCTCCACTTGGCATTTCTGTGGACGGCTGAGGCATTTTTTAAGTACCAGCGGAGTATCCCTCCCGGCAGCCCCGGGCTGTCAGCACAGGAGGTATTTCCATGCACTCACTCCATGGCACAGCCTCGGTGAGAGACGCTCGGAGCTCTTTGTCCAGCGGCGTTGGAGTTTGAATCACTGGGAAAAGCATGTGCAGAATTCAGGGGTGTGACTCCAGGGCGCGTGCTTGGACCTGACGGCTTTGCTGCTGCTGCTGAGTTGATTTATTCCTCAGCTACAGGAAAAATGTAATTGCCCTGCAGGAAGCCACGGGACTTGCATGTAAGGACGGAAAAGACCTTGGTATCTGTCAAGGGCCAACTAGGATTTTAGATTTATAACTCATTGCCGCAGTCCCAAGATTATGCTGGTTTTGGATTGATTTTTCATGTGAGAAGAGATGTTCTGGAGTCACTTCCCTTCCTGAAGATTTTACAAACCACGAAGTGCAAATATTTAATTTCTGAATCTCATCTCTGAAAATTTGCCATGCTTTAATAGAATTCCAGATGAAATATTTGTGAATCCTTCAGGCTAGACTTAAGTCTCCACATCTTTCAATCACTCCCTCCCTCCCTGCACTGTGCAGACCTTGCCTGCTGGTCTATTTGATCTTGTTGACAAGATATCAAGCCTTTTAAGAAAGCAGTTTTAAAGCTCAGAAAATTTGCTGGAAAGATTTCCATTACCAAAAAAGGCCTTTAGCTCTGGCTTTAGGACCGTAGAGATGCTTCAGTTGTGGACTGTGTCTCTTCAAAGTCATAAGCAAGGGAAAAAAACCAGCATGAAACTGCATGGCCAGGGGGATACTCCTGTAGCTTAAATAACACACTGACAGTAGCAAGAGCTATTTTTCCCTGGATGAAAGACTGACCCAAGAAATTTCCTGCATATGCTGGGGCACTGTCATCAGTAGCGTGGCAAATAGTTGAAAAAAATCATTGTATTCAGCAACTGAGGAACTGCTAAAAAAGTCCCAGAGCAGAGCTAGAGTTTAAAAGCCAAAGATAAATGAATAAACACATACCAGAAGTTTGCAGTGTCATAACTTATAACTTTTATTGGCTTTCATGACTAATTGGAGATTAGAGCAAGAAAAGGGTGTATGATATAGCAACAGAATTAAACATCCCACGCACCAAGAGGAAAATGAACAGCAGGACTAGCCCTTACAAAGGAAAAAATCACACTGATCAGTGGGCAGCGACTTCAAAGCACGTTACAAGCATCTAGTGATTAAAGGCAGGCAAAGAAGAAGGGAGATGATCTACAGTCTCTAAGCAAAGGACTAAGAGTGTTGAGGGCCGTATCCGTATCCGTATCCATATCCGACACCGAATGGGCCAGCAGTGGAAGCGCTTTGCCGAGTGGGTTTAGTGGCCACCGCAGCAGCCCCCGCGGTTGCCACCGCAGCAGCCCCTGTTGTTGCTGCTGATGGTGTAGCAGCAGCTCTGCATGGGCATGCAGCAGGTGGTGGGGCAGCAGTACTGCGGGCAGCACGGCGTCTTGCAGCACTTGGGGCTGCTGTAGCAGCAGACGGTGTAGTTATTTCCGCCGCAGCATCCGCAACCGTTGGGCATCTTGTCGGTTGGAGGTGGAGGCAAAGCTGAAAGGAACAGAGAGGGTCTGTCTGTGACTGGGAGCAGGATATTTGGAAATACAGAATTAATTAAGAGCTCTCTTTATGCTAAATTCAGACATTCAAGGAGCTAAAACCAAGTGCTGCCTTGTGAGTAGTAAATCTTGCTCAGAACTCTTCTCTCTGTCTTTTTCCTGCAACGTAGATGCCCACCAACTCCTTCCAGACATCCCTAATGTCTTAGCAAGAATCACACAGCACAGTGCACATAGTCCTCAGCCTGGGCCCTCCTGAAATGTTCTCCATCCCCTTGCTCTGCATGAGGATATTCAGGAAGAAATTTTTCACTCTGAGGGTGGTGAGACCCTGGCCCAGGTTTCCCAGAGAAGCTGTGGCTGCCCCATTCCTGGAGGGGTTCAAGGCCAGGTTGGACGGGGCTTGGAGCAAGCTGGTCTGGTGGGAGGTGGCCCTGCCCACAGCAGAGGGGTGGAATGAGATGGTCTTCCAACCCAAACTATTCCATTATTCTATGATTCTATGGCCCCGTTGATACTCCTGTAGCCTCTCCACCCTTTAACCTTCTTCTATGGCCCTGTTGATAACTCCTGTAGCCTCTCCACCCTTTAACCTTCTAGCTTGTCCCCATAGTTCCTAGTACTCAGTTCATAAAATCCCAACTTCAACCCAAGTCCCAGTCCAGATTCCCAGTTATATCTGGATACTGTTATAAGATATCCATAGCATTTTTCTTTTGTGAAGAGGAAGGAAGATTTAGAGCTTCTCACTTACCCTGTTGAAGAGTGAGGAGAGGTGAAGAGAGGAGAAGATGAGCGAATGAAGTGAGCTGGGCCAGGAGACCTTTTATAGTCCTAGACACCTTCCTCCTGGAAGTGAGACAGCCATTGACCATTCAAGCTTCCCTGTTTACTAACCCAAACCCATACTTTTTAGTTATACGTGTCTTCTGGTATTTACTCTTTGCCTTATTATTTGTGATCACTACCTTTGTTTTGCCTCATAATTGTTTAGCCTGCAGATAATCAAAGGGCTTCCATGAATGCTAATGAATTTGTCCTCTCTGCAACCTTGCAAGGGAGCCAAAAAAATGCATCCTCGTATCTGTTTGACAAACGCAGACAGCGACGGCCGAGGATTCTACGGGACTTACTCAGCAGCGGCTGGTGCTGAATCAGTGCACGAGGCGAAACTGAGCCCCTGGGTTGTGACTTTCGGGCACGTGATGGGCTGTTTCATTGGACTGGTGTTCGAAAGAAATATTCGGGAAATTTCATGAAAATAGGTATGTTTGTTCCCGGTCACAGGACCTGCACGTGAGGAGGGAGCAAGAAGACCATGTGTTTGGGATATGTCGGGACTCATGCTGGCTCCTGGGTCTCAGTCACCTGCACGTGACTTCATGCAAAGTCATCTTGCCCTCGTGCATGGTAAGAGCAACTTTGTGATGCCAAAGCTATCTTTGTCTGCTGGTTTGCCTAAATTTTTTGCAAATCCTCCAATCTGGGGGGT